AGTGGGTTTGAAGCCCATTGGTTACCCTCAACCTGATTTAGCCCATCTGCTGAGATGGTTTTACCCAGCTGTGGCCCCTGCCCATGCTACATTTTTTTTGGAACCACAGGTGAGAGTTGAGTGAAAGTGGACACAAAAGGTGGACCCATCATAGTATCATAGGATCACAGATTTAGAATTGGAAGGAAACTCAGTGACCATCCAAGCCAACCTCTTCATTTTACAGATGAGGGAAAGTGGATAGAGCATTAGACTGAGTCAGGAAAGCTCATCTTGCTGAATTGAAATCTGGCCTTAGACACTCACTGGCTGTGTACAGAAGCTGCAGAGTTTCTCCCAGTGATTGGGAGAAATGATTGTCAGTGATTGAATATGGCCATTTGGTATGTATATACTTCACTTTGAACAAGAGGCATGTTTCTGAAAAGTTGCAGGTACACCAAATCATCTTAAGTACAGCAAGAGAGCTTGGTATTTAAAGGAATCCTGTAGTGAATCCCTTATTATTTTAGAGAAGATTAACTAGGATAGCAAAAGCCCTCAAATTCATGCTGAGTGACCGTTGTTTGAAGGAACTGAGGATAAGATTAGGGGGATAGGATGGGGGATATAACAGCACTCTAAAAGTTTTTGAAAAGCTGTCATGGAGGGGCAAGGATTAGATGTGAAAAACCTATCGTGTGAGTGAAGTAGAGTAGAAACTGGGGTCATAAGGGTTGAGGAGTTTTAAGTTGCTATGAGAAAAGGACGCTAGAAAGTCAATGTTTAGGGCCATGTGAAGTTTTCAAGTAGTAGTATTTTTATTTTACAAATAAAGAAATTGAGAGTAACAAAGAGTAAGTGACTGCCTACAGTTATGTAACAACAGGTATTGGAGCTGGGACTTGTTCCCAAATGTTTTCTCTCACACCTGCTGCTTTCTATCTTCTTTCCACTTTTTCTTCTTAAATTGCCTGTGTCTCCTATCATTTCAACCCTCTACTTTAGAATAAAAATTAAAAAGACTGTTCTACTTTAAGCATATAACTGGCCAAGAAGATGATTGTTTCCTTCTAGTCAGCAAACTGACAAACTGTAAGAAGTCAGGTTTTTGTTAGTTTTACTCAGCACTTGCCACTAAGGAGGAGCCTGTCTTCACTGGCCGGGATTTTAATGTTTCAGCCTTTTCTGGGATATTTGAGGGCTCCATAAAGTTGATTTCAAAGAACTACATCTCCATTGTAGACTTGGGAGAGAGGCACTGGCTATCGAGTAGCACATTTTCTATTACGTACTTAAAAAGCTTCCTTTAGTTGCGTTCACTGGAACCTAAGGAGTGAAAAGTTGCCGTACAGAAGAAACGTTGGCCACTCCATAGATGGAGCAAATCTTTGTTCTGTTTGCTTTAGGTGGAAGCACAGTTAGGAACATCATCCATCACAGCATTTCCTCAGGAACTTTCACGGTCCAGGCCATTTTATCATAGCTCAGGAGCTGATGTCACAGTTTTTCATGGATTGTGTTCATTAGCCTAAAGGGATCTCACACACATGAGACCTTTCAGGCAGTCCTTAAAAGGTGAACTTTTGGCCAGTCATGTCTAAGAAATGGCCATCAGTAGTACTCTGTAACTGAACAATGCTAAGGCACAGTGCTTTTAGTGTTGCCTGTGGCCGTGTTAGAGTATAAGCTCCTTGTAAGTAGAAATTGTTTCATTTGTACGTAACAAACAGTGCATGGCACTTAATAAATGCTTTTCAGGTGGTTTATGTGGGAGAGACTCACCTCAGGAGCACTAAAGCATCTGAATAGCAAGAATCTGAATTTTAATTGAGCGAAAGTAAAACCTTTTATAACTTGGGAAAACAATCAAAGGATGGAAGGAGTGGATTCAGACAATAGGGGGTACAGTTCAAAGAGTAAATGAATGAATCTATAAGGACTGTCCACAGAATTAATGTCAAACTGATGAGGCCTAACAAGTTATGTGGGAGCCCCCAGGCTATTCAGATAAGGGTAAAATATTAATTGATTATCAGAAATTACATAAGCAAATAAATAAGCCTTTCAACATCCTGCATCCTCCTGTGGGAGAAAGGACAGTCCTTTAGAGCTACAATGCCTAAGCTCTCCAAAGTCCTTTATTCTGGTAGTAAACTTGTAGAAATGTCCTACTGAAAAGATCATTAATTTGAGAGTAAGAGAATCTGGGTTCAAATCCAACCTGTAGCACTTATTGCCTGTGTGACTTTGTGTGACTTTGGACAAAGAATAATAATAATAATAATAGCATTTATACAGCATCTATTATGTGCCAGGCACTTTGCTAAGTGCTTTACAATATCATCTTATTTGATCCTCACAACCACCCTGGGAGTCAAGCACTGGGGCCAGTGACTTGCCTGCAGTACACACAGTTACTAGGTGTCTGAGACTCATTTTTCCTTCTGGCCCAGTGCTCTGCCCACATTGTGCCACCCAGCTGCCTATGCCTAATTTATTTCACCTCCTTGAGCTTTAAGTTTCCTCATCTACAAAATGAGAAGGCTGCATCCTAGGATGCAGGATCCCTCACAGCTTTGTATCTATCACATTATTCTACACGGTAACAAAACACCAGGCCTAGTATTTAATGGGCCTAGGCCCCTTATCTGGTTATCTGCTCTTTTTGTGCTTCTAGGACGTGAGTTGGTCATCAGGAATAGCCTCATAATCTGAGACCATGAGACAGATAACATCCTCAGCTAGGGAGAAGCAGTCCTGTTAGAGATGAAACATCATAAGGCATACTTCATTCTTCAGAGGTTAGGACAGAAAGACTAATATTTGGTGAAACACTCAGGACTCCAAATATGCTTAGTACTGAGAAGGCTCAGCTAATAATTGTGACTACCAGAGAATCAGAGCCACAGATGAGGACTAGTCAAGGCCCACCCGGTTTGGGTCCTTGCTTGTTGTTGAAGCACTGCAGATCCATGGGAGATATCTGTACGCCTGAACTATCTGGAATAACAGTGTAGTAGGTGTCCCTAGGAGGGGACATACTCTACTTTGGAAAGCCAGAAAATGACCTTACATGAGGTGGTTTTGGAGTGCTATTTCATGGGCATCTAAGGCCTTAGGCATGACAGGTGAGGTAGCAGGAGCTTTGGTGACCTTGTGAAAGGCACCAGCCAAGTTGACGATCTCCTATGTGGCAATTCCCACTCTTTACTAGAGAAAAGACAGATCCAGAGGTGGTGCAGTAGTTGTAAATCTTCCCAGATAAAGACATATTCTGGATTACAAGGGGAACATAGCCACAGGAACAGGTGCCATACCATCCAGGAAGGAGGAGCTTTAGATTCTAGAGTCACAAATATAATGGAACTATTTTATGACAATGCCATTAAACTAGTAAAAGGACACTACCCTCACACTTTTCTAACTTTTATGAGATATCCTAATGTTAAGGTAACCAGGTGAGAAATACCAAGACTGAAATGGTACTCAATCCAGCCACACTCCACTGTAGTTATTATGTTCAGTGAGTGGATGACCCCAGAATATTTAGAGGACAAGGGAAAAAACAAGAGATACTTCAAACCTGTTTTGAAGCTGAATGCCAAAGAACAGGCCATAGCTTTGGACTCCTTGGAGATGACAGAAGCTGACAGATTCTACTTACATATGGCAATCTAGGCATGGGAGAGCTTTTTTTAAAAAATCAAATATTTAGACCAGCTGCACACCTAAGAGTCTCAAGCAACAAGTTATGTACTAGTAGTAGCTATAGCTATAAATTAAACAATATTTGCATTTGCAACTTGTAGAAAAAATGGTCATCCATGAATGTTTGACTTTGACACACATTTATAATCATTATACAATTTTTGAATTATGAAACTCAACAAAATGCATAGGATAAAATAAATAATTTTTAGCAATTTATTCAGAATAGTTGAAAAATAAGATATTCTAGTTAGCCAGTTATTCAAGTTTAGCAGGAGTTACTATATACACAATATGCATAATCAGAGAATTTTTAGAGAATTAGAACCAAAATCATTGCACTCTTGAATGCATCCAGAAGTTACTTTAGTATCTTGTAGTTCCTCAAAATCATCAGCTGGTGTATCAGTTGTTAAAAGTTTTTAGTGTTATGAATAGAGCTAATTGGGTAGTGTCTGTGTTGATCCTCTTACATAACCTTGAAAGTGCTCTTTTAAATAAGCATGTTATCTACTTGTTTAGTTGTCATTTAGTCTAAATAGGAGGCCTTCAGGAAAGCTACGTCAAATCCAGTTCTGTGCATCTAACCTGACCGTCATGGATAAATCGCTTTTTTCTAACACTGTTTTTCTTTTTATCATTTGTACCTTTTCTCTCCCCCAGAACTGAAATGCTTGAAAAAGCAGGCAATTGAAACACTTTTGGAATGTTATATTCATCTTAAATATTTAAATTTACTAACTCAGAATTGTACTTTCAAATAATTCAGCCATCTTCAATTAATCTATTAATGGTATATTTTGGTTTCAAAGTTTTGCACCACTACATTATAGAGAGAAGGAATTTGGCCATCTTTAAGCCTGGTTTCTTTTCCATGCTGTTACTCTATTTTGACTAATGAATGTTAATTAGTAAGAAGTCACTTATTTTCATGTCTAGGTGTTTGTTTATTCTTCATTTAGAAATATTTAGAAGCAAAAATTAGTTGGTCCTTTCCATATGTTTGTAGAGGTACCAAATAGTTTTTTAATAGCCTTCAAAATCTTGATGGAGATCAGTCAACAATTCTTTATTTTTTTTAAGGTAATAAATGTCAGCTCTGAATTCCTCACAAATTTGTCCTATCATCGAAATAACAAAAAAAAAACTTGTTTATATAACTTAGAACTAATCATAGAAGTCTTCCCTGACTTTCTAGGAAGAACTGAATCATGGGAATCATTGGGAAAGATAGCAGAATGGGTGTTAAAAACTGATTTTGTTGTTTTAGTCTATTTTACCACTTACATGGTCTACATTTTATTTTACAGATGAGTTTACAACTAATTTTCTGGGTTGGACTGGTCAGTTGCTCTATCTGTCAAGTATGGGGCCAAACAGGTAAGCTAATCTATTCTTTATTTTGCTCTAACAATGAACACTAGGCTTTGTTTATTGATACTGCTTTTTTTGGAGACCCTGTTTGAGCTCCTACTTAATCAACACACAGAATTCCCTGCTGATGACTTTCCTTCTCTAGGCTTTTTTCTCCTCTTTGATTCTCTCCTTCCTGCTTGACAGGTCTGTCACCTCCCCTTCCCCTGATTGTTAATCAGCCAGACTTCTATTGCCTCTGGTCTTCTTAGCTCTCAATCTTTCCTTGTTGCATTTCTGAAATACTAAGGGACTTGAATATTTCAGTCTTTTCCATTTCTCTCCAATATCATGATGGAGAGTAAAGTACACTGTCTCTAGTCAGAGGATTTGGGTTCAAATCTCATTTCTAGGACTGCCTGTGAGCCTTAGAGCAAGTCATTGAACCTCTCAGGCTGCATTCTTCTCACTTGAACAGTAAAGGTCATTTCTGACTCTAAATTCATGACCACATGATCCCAGCTTACTCATCCAGATATCTGAACTCCTAATAGACCAGCCATTGCTTCATTTGTCCAGTATACTGTCCTGGCTCTGTCCTAAACTAACTAGCCATAGTGCTTCCCAACCTGGGCCAGCTCAAACCTAGAGGCAGCAAGATGTAGCAGAAAGCATACTGGCTCTGAAATCTATGTAAACAAGGAAGTAAAAAAGCATTTATTAAACACATACTATGTGCCAGGCGTTGTGCTAAGTGCCGAGAATACAAATACAAGCAGAAAGACAATCCTTGCCTCCAAAGAGCTTACATTTTACAGAAGACGACAAGACATAGTGAAGAAGAAAGAGGAGCAGAGAGAAATGAAACTACTCAGGAGAGTCAGAAGAGAAGGGAAATGAAGGCTACCATGGACATCCTTCTTAATTGGAGCTTTGGGGAGGAGCCAGCCAATCAGAGGGAGAAGCTACGGGAGCAGAGGGGTACTTCCAGTGTGTGAAGTCCAGGGCTAGCATGAGCTCCCAGAATTAAGTGTCTGGAACATGGTAAAGAAAGTCCAGGAGTACAGCCTGGAGAGAAATACTGTATCTAGAAGACATAAGAATAAAATACTGAAACAGCAAGAAAGTAAAGAAAAAATGTGTGAAAGAATGTGTGTTGAGGAAAAACTATGCAAGGGAGAAAAAAACAGCTTTGCAAGATAAAGATACATATGATCACTTCAACAAGTCAATCAAAATCTAGGTCAGAGAGAAAAGGTGATGTCTGTAATACCTGAAAGTAGTAAAGTAGAGACCAGGAAAGTGTCCATGTCCACAGATATGATTAGAAGTCTAAGTTTGTGACTCTAAGTATGGTTTATTTATAATTTTAAAATATCCCTTTTCTGCACACACATATATATGGTAACCTCTCTGTAGAGAATTTTAAAAGCAGAGTAAACCATGTTTGTAATTATGGAAAGCCAGCATTCTTTTATTAAGGTAAAACTTCCCCAAGGCTTACTTTACTTACAGAATCACTATTTGAAGACAATTTCTGTAGCAGGTGAAAAGTAGAATCTGTTTTATAAACATCATTGAACACTCGAGCTGGGGGGAAATATGTCTGGTTAACCTATTGGAATTCTTTGAGGGGGTAATGTAAAGCCTTGGATACAAGCTCCTCATCAGAGGCTTTTTAAAAAATTAATTTGTTGAAGAAGGCATTGAAAGGTGGCATTGGTTTGTTATGCATAGGAACAAGGATCATAAGGCTGATAGGATCATAAATTCAGATGTGACAAATACAACTGATGAAAAAAGACAACCGACACAGTGACTACATCTGACAAGAAGAGGCAGTTATATTTCATTATCTCTTCTCCAGGACCAAGATTAATTAATTCAGTTGCTTGGAGTTCAGATACCATTTAGTGTTCTTTTAATTTATGTTATTATAGTTATTGCATATTTTTTCTTCTGGTTCTGTTTACTTTATTCTGCATCAATTCGTATACTTCCTTATTCATCCCCCCATATGCCAACCATTTTTCTCTGAATTGCTCACATTTTGTGATTTATTATATTCCTATGCCACAATTTTTGCATCCAGTTCTCAATCAATATCCAGTCCTCAGTCAGCGAACACTTGCATTTTTTTCTAGTTTTTTGTGACCACAGATAGTACTGCTATGAGTATTTTGGTACATTAGGACCTGTGTTTCTGTCTTTGACCTCTTGGGGTCTATGACTAGTTCTTCTGGAAGAATATATTCATAAGGCAGTAGACATCTATAAGCACCTCTTCAGTGTCTGAATCCTGAACCAAGTGTTTCTCTGTCCTCTCCTATGCTAGTCTTCTCACTGAAGCTGCTGAGTGTGTGTGTATATATATGTATATATATATATATATATATGCTCATTGAGTTTGGAGGATCTTAATTCTTAAAATAATCTCTCTACTTCTTTAGACACTGGCACATAGAAGGCACTTATCTTCATCGTGGTCTTTTTGCTAATGTTCATCATGATGAAGAGATGAACAAGTATCTATGAAATAACGGTTCCACCACTTCCTCCATATGTCAGAGAAACAAATCTGTGATGTTTTTCTGCATGTTTGTTTTTCCCTGGTATTGACAAGATCCTACTGTTTATTTGCTTATATTAAAAAAATCTAGACCCAGTAGAATAAAATTCTGTTTTAAAGGTTCTGCTCTAGTACAGTGGCTCATGCAGGGCTTCTTGATCAACTACAGAGATAGCTTTCTTCAGTTATCTCATTTTATTATTCAGTTTCCCCAGTTATCCAGGGCAGAAAGTAGAGAGGTGCTGACCAAAAGTGAATTGCACAGGGTCCACACTGAAACAGGATTTTTTAGAAATGGTAATTTCTTATAGATACCTGCTTGCAAATGATGTTGTTGCTGAGTGCATGAAGCTCAGAGTATCAAAAGACCTAAGTGAAATTCAAGGACCACTTACAAGATCAGCTTCACAGTTCACATGGAAAAAAAAATAGATTTAAAAATGTCATTTATTGTGAAGATTGATTGTAAATCAGGCTTAGAATTATCTGGAATGAATAAAGTAGACCACATAGCATTTGGGAAATTATAAAGCACTTTTAATGGTCCCATGCTGCTTCCCTACACAGTCTTCTTAACACTAGTATTTTTCTGGTAATTCTTACATAATCATGGTATATGGATAAAAATCATGAAGTAACACACTTTTTGAAGAATCTTTCAGGTGACTCAAAGGGTAATGGAGAAATTTGGTGGCTGTAAGTAGGGTATGTTGTGTTACCACCAGTGATTTACTTAGCAGAAGTGGCTAAGATGTTATCCAGGAAATGTAGGGGCAGGAAAGAAGGTGGGTTGATTATGTAACAGATGAAGAGTCCAGGAATGGTTGGAAGAAAGTCTTCACTACATTGATATCACAAACAAGAGTTGCAGAGTAAGAAGGAAGGAATTTGTATCATTGAAAGTAGCCCCCACATTGAGGAGATAAGAGAAATTCTGAAAGGCAGAGGTTAAGGGGGCATACATTCCATTAATTGGCACTACCTGTGTAAATTCATGAAGACAGGAAGTGGCACACTGAGTGGGGAATAGCAGGTAGTCTAGCTTAACTGATGTAGTGTGTGGAAAGGGGGAATCATGTGAAATATGGTAGGTTAGAGACATCATGTTGTAGGGCCTTAAAGGCCGAGCTAAGAAGTATATGTTTTATCTTAGGGACAGTAGGGAGCTACTGAAGGTTTTGATCGCTGGAGTAGCATGATCTATGTGAAGTATGGGTCAGAGAGGGGATAGACTAGAAATGGCTTTTATAGTCTAGGTGAGAAGTGATGGCCTAAACTAGTTTGGTAAAGAGAAAGGAATAAATGGAAGAGATGTTGTATAGGTAGCAGCCACAAGACTTGGTAACTAAAATGGAACAACTATAAGGATACTTAGAGACTCACAGGAGTTGGCACTTTAGGGTAGTACAGTCGACAATTAAAAGCCTAATTCATGAATTTATGTGGACAGCTAGGTGATATGGTGGATAGAACACTGGGTCTGAAAGTCAGGAAGATCTGAGTTCATATCCAGCCTCGAGACGTTTACTAGCTAGCTGTGTGACCCTAAGCAAGTCACTTAACCTCAGTCTGCCTCAGTTTCCTCAACTATAAAATAGTAAAAGTACCTACTTCCCACAGTTGTTGTGATGATCAAATGGAATATATAAAGTGTTTTGCATAGTGCCTGTCTCTACTGCAGAGAGCACAGTCTGATGGGCAGACTATATTGTTCAAATGACAAACATAGGTTTGCCTAAAAGACTATTTTATAGAAAACTCACACAAGGCAGGCACTCCCATGGTGGTCAGAAGTAAAAATACAAGGACACTCAATGTCTCTCTGAAGAGAGATTTGGAATCAATTGCACAACATAGGAGACACTGGCAAAGGACTGCCCAGCATCAAAGAAAGTGCTGTGCTCTATGACCAAAGCAGAATTGTAGTAGCTCAAAAGAGATGAGATGAGCAAATGTAGAGACATCTCCACTCCAAATGTTTTTATGGACTGTTTGTGCCCGACTTGTGGTCAAACCTTCTGAGCTCACACTGGTCTGATCAGCCACTGTAGAACACATAGTACTTTGATCCCAACATAGTGATGTCATTTTGGTCCCTTTTGAGAATGAAGGACAATAGTCAGCACAGTGCTTAGTACATAGTAAGTATTGTGTATGTGCTTATTCCCTTGTACCTCCTTTACCCCTTGTAGTAGCCAAAACCTGCAAACTAAGGTGGTCCTACTTATTAGAGAATGGCTAAATAAATTGTAATATGTGAATGTAATAAAATATTTTTGTACCATAAGAAATGAAAAAATGGAGCATTTCAGAGGAAACTGTGAAGACCTTTCATCTTATGCAGAGTGAAATGAGTTTACAGTGACATTACAGAGAAAAAAACTTTGACTTCTAAATCTCTGATTAGTGTAATAGATCACAAGTCCAGAGGACTCAAAATTAATCACACCACCCACCTCCTTCCCAAGAGGGGATTAACTTAAAAATCCAGAATGAAGAATGCATTTATGTACATGGCCAATGTGGGAATCCTTTGCTATGTGAGGTTTTTGTGTGTTTTTAAATGTTTCATTTGAGGGTACAGTGAAAGATAATGAAACTTAGAGAGCTTTGTGATTTTTAAGAGCTTGTATTCATTCTTCCTTGCTCCAGGATTTTATTGAATTTTCTTCCTTTTGAAATCTTTAGTGTTTTAGACTTTTTCTTTGTATTCCCTGTTAATCACTTCCTGATTCCTTTCCCCTGGCCCTGGGTAAATCCTCCAGGACTGGATTTTGGGAGCCCCTTAAAGCTCCCGTGGGCTGATCCACCTGTTCTAGTTCCTCCCTAGGCTCTTTCCTTTCTTCTGTGCATCAATGTCCAATGCGGAAAAAGTCAGTTTTTTTTTTTCCAGACTGGTAGGACTCTGGGAAGAGTGTTTTGGGAAAATCTCTTCAACCTTGGGGATCCAGAGACAGAAGGCAGAATGCTTCTCCCCTTGCCTATTTCCCTTCCTTTACTTCAATCCCCTTCACATGTACACTTCTCCTGATGTGGCTGAGTAGGGTCAGCATCTGCTCTTGTAGATATAGGGGAGCAGGCAAGGAATGTAGCCCAAGAGGAGATTGCAGCATGTATCCAGGCCCAGGCCTTCAGCTCAGCTTGTGTGTCCTTACCTGGAGGTAGAGGCTGATGGGGGGGTGGGGGGTGGGGCATATGCTAAGTACCTTAGGGATTAGCATTTTCCACTTTTGACTCACAAAGACTTTATGTTGTCAGAGATTTCACTAATTTCGTTCTGTGGATTTAGTTGTAATTGTTCAATATTTAATGTATATTTCTTTTGGGGGGGGAGTAAGGAAATTGAGAGTCAGTAGGGCCTGGGTGGGGAAAGTGTCAAATTCATTATTTCATCCTGACATTTATCATTGTGAACTAAATTCATCTTACTAGAAAATCATAGGATCATAGGTGTTGAGTCAGAGAAAATTCAGAGACCATCTAATTTAGTCCCCTTACTTTATAGATGAGGAAAATGAGGCCCGGAGAGTAAACACACAACTGGGATTGGAACCCAGGTCTTATAACTCCAGAGACAGAAGTGGTTTTTCCATTGTCCCATGCATAATCCAACATTATTATAGCTTATATTTTATAATATTTTTAATTCAAATGACTCTGGTTCTTTTGGACAGGTGGAAATGACTGCTTAAAAGCAAATGCAAAATCATGTGGAGAATGTATTCAAGCAGGACCAAATTGTGGATGGTGCACAAATTCCGTAAGTAGTGTAAATTGCATATAGTTTTTGACATGAATTATAGTACTTTCACATATCAATTACGCTCAGTTTTAAAAATTTTTTGCCCTGTTTTGTTTATGGGGAGGTGGGATTCCTGCCACCATATTCCTTATGTAGACATTGGATATCTCAATTTTCAGGTTTGTTACTCATAGCTTTTCTTAGGTTTGTGTCCCTCTAGAATGACATCCTTTCCCTGTATCTCTTGAATATGCCTCCTGTTCTTTTATCTTTATATTGCTAGTAACTAACTCAAATATTTCCCACAGAGTAGAGTTTGATAAATGTTTGTTGAATTTTAAATTACCTACACCATTGGGAGTATATATTCCAAGTTGCACAAAACCCAAGATTCACTTGTGTTTGACTTTGAAATGCCCCAGATACTTTGACTTTTGTTGCTAGTGAATGGTTCTAACTACATTTGATTTGACTTAAATGAAAGCTAATTTTCATTACCTGAGAATGCAACAAGTAATGATGAGGGAGTCCATCCAAAAGTGGGGCGAAGCAATAGAGGAAAGCTCAAGGGTTGACTCTATATAGATACACCATACTAGCTAAGCAGATCACACCCGATTGCATGCTCTGACTGTTGTAAACAGATGCCTAAAGAACCAAAAGTATTTTTTTATCCTCAGCTCCACTTGGTTAAACTGGGGGCAACGAGGAAGATAGAGAATGCTGCAATTTTCTCTAGTCAGTCACCCCAATATACTTGTGAGCTTGAAGTTAGGTTTTACCTTATCTGTCCTCGCTGTACCAAACTATTTCTGAAGGCTCGGTCCTTATTCTCTAAACCTCCAACTATTCTAGGCATGTATAGTTGGAAACTGCCCAGAACCCTGTCTCTCCCCGTAGAAGCAATTGTGCCAGCCAGCTGTTGAGTATTCATAGTGATGGTTAAAAGACTTGGCATGTTCAACACAGTTTACATTTATTATCCAGTCTCTTTATGGTGTGTAATCTGTAGAACAGGGGAAGTGGTAGTTGGGGATTTTTGAAATAATTCACAGTTGGCTGTTGATGATATTAAATCATGTTTCAAAGGAAAAGGGTTAAAGATAGTTTTTACATGAGCTCTGTATACAATCTTAATTTATGTGTGTTGGTCAGTGTTTTGAAAAGCTTACTTCACTAGTGTGATTTTTTTGTTGTTGTTATGGAGGATAATTTTAGTATGATAATGCCTTAGAAGAGTGAAGGTTTGATTTAGCTGACCTTCTCTTTTAATTATGCAGATAATCTTAAACCATCTCTTTTCTCCCTCTACAAACCAGCTTGTAAAAGCTAATCTATTTTGCCTTTTCTGTTTTCTGGGATATCTTTGCCTTATGCCGTGTGATATATTTTATGGATAATTAAATGTCATTAATTGATGATGACAGTGATAGCTAACATTTATATAGTGCTAACTATGTGCTAGGCACTGTGCTAAGTGCTTTACACTTAAATCTCATTTGATCCCCTCAAAACCCTTAGAAGGTAAGGTGCTGCTATTATCCCCATTTTACAGTTGAGGAAACTGAGACAATCAGGTTGAGTGACTTGTCCAGAGTCATACAGCTAGTAAATATCTGAGGCCAGAGTTGAACTCGGGTCTTCTTGACTCCAGGTCTGGCGTTCTTTCTACTGTGCCACCTAGCTGCCCCATTGAATTGTTAGGTATTAAGAAACAATGAATCTAAGATGTATTTAGGTTCTATATTTCTAGAAAAATAAGAGAATGGGGATAGGATCGTTAAAACACAACTTTGTATGGAATAAATACAGTCATTATTTTTTCTTTTTTTAAGAAAAAAAGTTTTACTGATTTTTTTTAAATACTGCTGTCATTTCCCAGTAATCCCCACCCAATTGAACATTTTTTTATGTCTGTCTGTCAGCATATGCCCCTTTGACACCTGTAGTTAACTGTTTCTCTGCTGAGAAGAGGGAAATAGGCCTCTTTATCAGTGCCCTGGAGCCAAGATTGATCATGTGTTGGCCCGAGTGATGTCTTTTATTATTGCTTTCCTTTAAATTATTGTGGTTGTGTATATTCTCTTGGTTCTGCTTACTTTTAATTCCTTTTCAGTTCACCTAAAACTTTCCGAGGTTTTCTAAATTTTTCATTTAAATTATTTTCTCTCTCTACTGAAAGTACAAGCACTCATATCTGGGCAAGGGAAGCTTGTTTAAAAGCCAGAAAATTAAATAAATACCTAGTGTTGAATCTTTTGTGTAATGAGCAATATTTCAGCTTGTGATTATTTTTGCCATAATTTCTCGTATATGTTTGTATATGATTTAGTCATTTTTACAAGAAGGAATGCCTACTTCTGCCCGGTGTGATGATTTAGAAGCATTAGAAAAGAAAGGCTGCCGTCCAGAGGACATAGAAAATCCTCGAGGCCACAAAATTATCCGGAAAAATAAAAATGTGACAAATCGCAGTAAAGGTACAGCAGAAAAACTCCAGCCTGAAGATATTACCCAGATCCAACCACAGCAGCTAACTTTGAAGTTACGCTCGGGTATGATCTCTAATTCCAGTGTCATTATGACTCTCACTGTGATCCCAATTTCACAGGTGCTGCTGAGGACTGATTTTCATAAAGCAAGTTGGCATTCGCTTAAGGACAAAGAATGTATTGAATTTTAGCAATTGAACTCATTTTTAGCAGATTCAGTAAAGAGATATCAGTAGTTCCTTAATTTAATACTTCAGAAGAACTCTTTATATCATCAGTATGCTAGTACTTAACGCTCCAGTGAAATAGATGACCTCTTCTTTAGATACAGCCCCACCATTTAGTGAATGGTTTTAGGAGTTACTGTGGCCAAAAATGTGACATATCATTCATTAAATTAGTTTACTGGACCTGTCAGAGCTTGTGCTCTGCTGATAAGCTTTCAGAAAAAACCTGAGGCCATCTTCATACCACAGTGAGATGTCCACTCTGTAGAGAAGGCAGTGTATAGACATTATAAGAAAGGAATAAAAGGAGTGAATTAGTCTTTCCCTCAGGGAGCTTATGGTTACTAAGAACTTATTGTCCTGTCACGGTCAGTATTTTAGATGTGTTTTCTGGACAGTTTGTCACTGTGTAAAATCTGATGGCAGGATAATAGAGACATTTTTAGGAACTAAAATGAAGTAGAACTAACACTTGAATCCATTATTTTGTTATAATCTTACTTTCTAGTACTGTGAAATACAGGATGCTTTTTTTTAACATCTGCTTTAGTCAGTCAGTAACAGTATTAGAACCATAAACTTTTCAGTAGAAATAATATTAGATATGAAGTGAATGTAATGTTGATCAAATTATTTTCATTTTTCATATTGGTATATTTTGGGCTTCTAGTAACTTAATTTGATTTCTTTTTCTAACATTTGTCTTATTAGGAGAACCACAGACATTTACATTAAAATTCAAGAGAGCTGAAGACTATCCTATTGACCTCTATTATCTTATGGATCTCTCTTACTCCATGAAAGACGACTTGGAGAATGTAAAGAGTCTTGGAACAGATCTAATGTACGAAATGAAGAGAATCACTTCAGATTTCCGAATTGGTAAGAGTGTTGGAAAGATACAAATGGATTTGATTTTAATACCACCACATAGAAAATGTGTTTCTTTTCATAGCAGTTACAAATCTTAAAAATAAACAAACAGATGCTTTCTTTCCCCAAGAATCCCCATTACCATGTCTCTTTTAGCACTGAAAAATCTTATCTCCCAGATTTATTTCAGACCTAGACTTCCATTTCAGAGCAATCTCCTTTCTGATTTGTCTGTATTTTCCACTTCACACATATGCAACTCACTTCATATTGTCCTCAAATCCTTACCTCCTTATGTGTAGTACTGTAATACCAAGGACTATATGTTGAAATTACCATATAACTTTTAGAAATCTCACAGTAGTTTGAAAAGACTAGCTCTTTCTCTCTCTCTCTTTCTCTCTCTCTCTCTTTTTAATCTATTTATTAAGGAAAGCTATTCTTCCCAAATTTTTCCCGCTTAAAAATCTATTGGGTTGGGAATGGGAAGCTAAGCTGAGAAAATTTAGAACTAGCTATCCATTTCTTGCTTTTATTCATATAACAAGCGTTATTGATGCACATAAGAGCTAATCTAAGCTCTTTGTAAAGAGAAGATAAAGAGTTTCCCAGGTTTTCTCATGAGTTGAATATTCAAAGTGTTTAGACTCGGAACATTGGACATATGAGTGCAAAAAAACACATTTCACAGCCAGTATGCTAGGAAAACAAAGGGGTTTTTTTGTTGTTTTGTTTTTTTAAGTATGGCATGGAAATGTTGACTTGAATATAAAAAGTTATTACTGGTAATTTTAAGTTTTAAACCTACAAATTATCATTTTTCTAATAGGATTTGGTTCCTTTGTGGAGAAAACTGTGATGCCATATATTAGTACAACACCGGCTAAACTCAGGAACCCTTGCACAGGCGACCAAAACTGCACCAGTCCATTTAGCTACAAAAATGTGCTCAGTCTTACAGATAAAGGGGAAGTGTTTAATGAGCTTGTAGGAAAACAGCACATTTCTGGCAATTTGGATTCTCCAGAAGGGGGATTTGATGCAATCATGCAGGTTGCAGTTTGTGGAGTAAGTACTTAATTCTTTACAGTTAGTTACAGTCCAATTATCAGTCAGCAGAAATAATAAACTTATACCCATATTATACTTTAGCTTTCCAGACTTGCATAGTTTTATACCATATAGGTACTGTGTGAGAAAATCATTATTATAGTAATAATTAGAATTATTATTATAATTCTACTTACAAGCGGAGGGAAAGTTTGAAGCCCTCATTACTTAGGGTTTCAAAAATCTGTTTTTCAATGATTTTGAAACAATAGAGGAACCCAGCCAGGAATCCTGCCTTTTGAGTTCATGTCCTCTCCCCATTTCCTCCTTTGAAAAAAAAAATGGTTGGCCCAGGTGTCTCAGTATTGTGATGCTTCTTCCTTTCTGGCTTTGTGGTATCAAAGGAGCTTTGGGACTTAATCCCTAACCTTAATTTTTAATTTTTTTATGTGCTATAAGAGGAATCAAGGTGCAAAATGACACTTTGTACCTGTTATCTTAGAAAATGAATAAAATCTTATTTTAATCTTTTTTTTAAATGCTATGTGTGTGCCTGTTTATGTATTTAGTAATGTGTTTTCTAATAAACTGTGTATGGTTTATATTTAAAATGGGTTAGAATTTATTTCAGAAGATTAGTTTTTCAGTTAGCCTGTACTTACAGATATCCACAGGGGCACTACACTACATTCAGCATTTAGGGTGTATGTTGCACAAGGGATTGGCGACAGAGTCAGAATTGACCCTTGGCAAAAATTTTGAAATAGATGGTTTGCCTTTAATACATTCCCCTTTTCTTCCCTTCATCCTCCATTCCTACCCTGTATGTACTACCTCCTCTAGGAGCCTAGTGTGTTTGTTCGCTTTCCTGCTCTCAGTCAGCTAAAGTGTTAATGATTCATAAAGATATAGCTCCATTCCTGGTGACTCTATTCATGAATTTTTGTGTTTCCAAGGGGGGAGTATTTAATGTCAGTCTCTTTTGGGGTGATTGCAGAAATGCTGTGGCTGCAAAGCTAAAACTGAGAGAGCATTTACAGCGTCTTAAGAGTTGTGCGGAACCTCAGGAGCACAGTGGTGACTGTGCTCCCATCTCATACTCCCTTCCCAAAGGACAGTGCTGTCTATTGTTTATTTCTCTCAACCTGTAGGCATAGGAACAGTCTTCACTTTCAAGGAGTTCATACTCTGATGTTCTAATTAGGAATGTATTCAGCAGATCAGGAAAAGTATGTGAATGGAATAAATAGGACTATGAAAAAGCTCAGAATCAGTAATTATACTGGTAGACAAGAACATAAGTAGAGGTCATCGAAAAAAGATTCCTAGAAAATGAAGGTTTGGAATTACAAGCTCCAAAAAGAGTTTAATATGGTGGCAGTTGAGGCAGAGGAGGAAATATGAATTTATAGTTTGAGGATGGAATATGAGGGATACATAAGGCCTAATGAACTAAAGATTCAGGATAGTTCACAATCAGAGATGAAGAAAATTGTTACAGGGTTAGTGGGGTTAAAGAGAGAGTCCCTGTTTGATGGTCTTAAGCTTTTTTGTCAATCATCTTTTAGATATTAAAGGATAGGAAAGCCACCCAGGAATGATAGGTAAAGAGTACCATACAGATGAAAAAGAACTGAAAGTTTAAGCATGTATGTTGTATGTTGAGTTGCTTTTTGTTTTGTTTTTAACATTCCTTTTCTTCTTTCTAAGTCATTAATTGGCTGGAGAAATGTTACACGACTATTGGTTTTTTCCACTGATGCTGGGTTTCACTTCGCTGGAGATGGTAAACTTGGTGGAATTGTTTTACCAAATGATGGACAATGTCACCTAGAAAATAATGTGTACACAATGAGCCATTATTATGTGAGTGCTTAATTCCTTCCCTATTAAATTTTTTGAGACTTCATTGAAGAATGTTTGGGAGCTTTGGGTTTGGGGTTTTATTATTTTGGTAGGTATGAGGCCTAACCCATACTCAGGAAAGCTAGTATTGCTGTTTATAAACATGTGACTTTGTATCCACTTTTGCCCAGACAGTCACAATGGGTTTAAGTAAAGATGCTTCCTGCTCCTTCTCCACTTTCATTTCTTGACATGTAGACCACTTTCATGTGGATTATAATAGACAAAATTTTCCTTTTCCATTCTCATCTCAGTCTAGAACTTGCTAATTATTTTGGATTGTATGTTCTACTTCAACATGAATTTACATTATACTTTCACCTCCTCTTTCTTTGATTTTGCTAGCTCCTGTTTAAGATTCATAGCTCAAGAATTTTTTTTAATGTTTCTTCTAATTTTCTCTTAATCTTTGGATCACCTTTAAGAGGTGAAGTTTTTGTCCGTATTTTTAATGGTCCATTTGAGTTTTCATGTACTTCTTGTTTCTGCATACTGTGAATCATTAGTTACTTTGAGGTTTGGAAAGCCTCCTCAGAGTCAGCTTCTCCATTATTAACTTTTCATGTGAGATGGAGCAGTTTTTAAAAAGATATTTGTTTTTCTGATATGGCCATGTGAAATGAGAGGCGCCAAGCATTGATCCATTATGTAGCCATTTTAGATAGTTCCTGTGAATATATTTCTCAGCAATTAAGGGTTCATACTCCCGAAAGTTTCCCGTTCATGGAGGAAATGCTTCTTCTGAAGAATCAAAGTAATGCTATAATTTTCTCTCTTTATCAATATTTCAAAAGATCTATTATTTTTCTTTGAAGGCTCTTCCCTTCGTTGGTATATATCACAACTACTCTGTACCTTAATAGATGGCTTCATAAATTACTATGGCCAAGATAACCTAATAGCCAACCTTATACTGATGTCCTTCTCTATGCTTATCTGGGTTAGTCTTGGAATGAGTGGCATTCAGTTGGCTGCCAGGTCTGATCAACCTTTCTGGTTTCATAGAGCCCTGCTAGAGCTTTTACTCCATTGACATTTAACTTTTGAGAATTCAGGGTTAATTACACACCACAATAAAGTTTTGAATGAGGAATTTAGTGGAAAGGTGCTCTCCCACCCAATACAAATTGATATAAACATCATGAATTTTAGAGTGCCTCTAAAATTCATAGAGTATTTGAGTTGGGCAGGATCCTAAGAGATCATCCAGTCTTCACTAGGACATATTATATTTCTGATACTTTGGAATACATGCTGGAGTAGACAATTTTATAGAATTACCCACATTGAGCTGATACCTTACATATTTTATCATATCAATAATTTCTTAGTTTTAAAAATTACTGGAAAACCAGTATGAATTAGTAGATCATAGTTATGTATTAACCAAATACTGATCCTTTATTTTCTAGGATTATCCTTCTATTGCTCACCTTGTCCAAAAACTCAGTGAAAATAACATTCAGACAATTTTTGCAGTTACAGAAGAATTTCAGGCTGTTTACAAGGTAAATATATAGTGGTTATGTTTGCTTTATATAAGTTAAAACAAGGTATACATGCATAGATCTTTACTGTTTAATGAAAAAGCAAAAAGAAGTGTAAATTAAGGTTTGGGAAAGTACTCTCAAGACAGACTGGGTAAAGTTGCAGGTTGTGTCTTAATCATCTTTTCAAAAATTCTTTATGTCTGGCTCTCAGATATTTAGGCTGTTCATCTGAGTTAATTCACCTTGGCATTTAGTATTCCAAAATTTAGTATGTATTCAAAACAGGTGTTAGATATTTTTAGTATATGGTGGTATAATAAATGTGTTTATACTTTATACGTGTTTTATGTTTTACATTGTCTGTGTTAAGGAATTGAAGAATTTGATCCCCAAGTCAGCAGTAGGAACATTGTCTGCAAATTCTAGTAACGTGATTCAGTTGATCATTGATGCATACAATGTAAGTAATTGAAATTAATTTGTCTTCGTATCTGTTTACAGTATGTCATTTAGTCTCCTGGGCTATATCAGTATTGTCTTAGCCTAACTCTAGAAAAAAATTAGACAAAAACGTCTTGTTTAGAGTCATCACTAGAAAAAAATCTGAATATTTAAAAACTGGTCTTGTTGCTGTCAATCAGGTACTAGAAAATACAATAATTTGTGTTCTAGCTTCACCCCAGAGGATGTTTGCCTTGAGCTTGAGATAAAATTCACTTCCTGACTGCATTGCATGGAGACCGTGGAAGGGATCTTTGTCCATTTCTCCTTTGCTTTTTACAGAGGACAGAGCTTCCTATTTCCAAGAATCATTATTTATGTCTTACCCAAAGCTTTTTTTTTTTTTTGCCTTTGGAAGAGGGTTGCTTCAAAATGGAAGGAAAATAATTTTCTCCTTTTGTGATTCTATTCCACATCCTGGTTAGCCTTGTTTTTAAGGACATAATAAACATGGTTGCTTAACAAATATTTGTAAATTTATAATCATTGACAGAAAACAACAATAAAATAGAAATGACACTCTTTGAAGAAATCCATTCAATTGGATTTCTAAATAATTTATGGAAGAGGATTTTTTCGTGAACCCAAAGTCCACTGGATTTAATACATTTAGATTTTTTTCATTTATAACTTAGAATTCTTTTTTTTTTTGGCTAAAACTCATCTTTATTTTAGTCCCTGTCTTCAGAAGTCATTTTGGAAAATGGCAAGTTGCCAGAGGGAGTAACAATAAATTACAAATCTTACTGCAAGAATGGAGTGAATGGGACAGGAGAAAATGGAAGAAAATGTTCCAATATTTCCATTGGTGATGAGGTAGGTGAGGATCACTTACTTAAGCTTGGGTATTGGGTAGGGGAGAAGGCAGACATTGATGTAGCTATTCATTCCTCACCTTATAGGTTCAGTTCGAGATTAGCATAACTTCCACAAAATGTCCTGAGGAGGACACGAAAACCGTCAAAATTAAGGCTCTGGGTTTCACTGAAGAAGTAGAGATTACACTCCAGTTTATCTGTGAATGTGAGTGCCAGAGCGAAGGCCTTCCAAATAGTCCAGAGTGCCATGAGGGAAATGGAACATTTGAGTGCGGTGCCTGCCGGTAAGCAGAGGCCTGGTCTGGGAGTGGTCCTGGCTGGGGATGCCTTTCCTCGACAGGCAGGGAATCTTTCCTTTTTGTCTTTGCATGTTACAACTGCTTGTTGAATTGAATTTGTTTGTGGGATTCTTACTCCTAAAACTTCATAGCCCTCTACTTATTTCCAAAGCACATAAAGAAAACCCAACAGTAACAATAAATGGTTTAATTGGCAGGAAGAAATATTGTTAGATATAAACTAGTTAAACAATAAAACTATATATTAGAGTTTTTATTTCTTTTCTAGCTTTTTAAAACATTGCATTTCATTCAAAACGAAAAGCTGTGAGAGGTAGAAATTAGCATTTTCTCATAAAATAGTAAGTTGAATTTTTTAAGTCAAATATATATATATATATATATATATATATACTTACACTAATGAGAGAAGCAATAATTTTCTTTTGAATTTCATTTTCAAGCTTATTAGGTGTTTTTCAAGTTATAAAGCAAAACTCTTAGGAAAATGAAATCAGTCTTTATCCTTAAAACATAGAAGTAGGGAACATCAGTAAATCAGCAGGCATTTATTAAGTGCCTCATAGGTGCCAGACACTGTGTTAGGTGCTGCAGAATGCAAATATAATGACTCATAAAGATTTTATACATTCTGTTGGGGGAAAAAACAAGTACATAGATAAGAAAGTAAAGAGAATACAGAGTAGTTGAGTAGGGAAGAGTACCACTGTCTGTCAGGAGGATGAGAATAAGCTTCATGCAGAGGGTGATGCTTTAGCTACTCTGGAAGGAAGACGTTCTTGGGGGGACAGAAAGGAGGAGGAAGAACATCCCAGGCATAGGGATCCTCCAGCACAAAGGCATGAGACAGATGAACAGAGAGAAGGCCTGTTTGACTAGATCACAGTGTGTGGGAAGGACATCAGTTTGATTCTAAATTACAAATATAAGTTGAAGAAAACAAGAAAGAAACAATTACTCTTACAATCTATACTATCTTTTATAATCTCGAATATATTATAAATTCGCTTTGAATTTTCAGGAATAAGGCATCTTATTTCCAGTGACCTGTAGGTATTATATAAATTTATTATTTATTGTAATAATATTACTGTTAATAGCAGACCATCACTTAGACACAAAATTGTCTTACTTGGGAAATTTTCTTTTGAGCATCAGTGACCTGAAAATACACATTGCTTGATTACGTTTTCAGTCTGAGTTTAAAATCCTGATACATTCTAAGTTCACCTTCCTTCAGAATCAGGAATGATCTAAATATAGAGAGAATCTTTGTTATCCAAAACTATTCTTAGTGTTATTTCCCACCAGTATAATTTCCCGTTGTCATCAGGACTTCTACATGACTCATTCTTCATAAATTTTTTTACAATTTTTGTATTTTATAGTTTAATCATTGATAATTGCCCTTCCTTTAGGTGCAACGAGGGACGTGTTGGTAGGCATTGTGAATGTAGCACGGATGAAGTAAATAGTGAAGACATGGATGCTTATTGCAGAAAAGAAAATAGTTCTGAAATTTGCAGCAATAATGGAGAATGTGTCTGTGGACAGTGTGTTTGCAGGAAGAGGGATAATACAAATGAAATTTATTCTGGCAAATTCTGTGAGTGCGACAATTTTAACTGCGATAGATCCAATGGATTAATTTGTGGAGGTAAGAATGAGTTCTGAAATTGTGCTCTGTACTTTGATCTTATTTGAGGGGACAGTTTAACTTGGTAAAGTTTAACTTACCTCTATATGGTGGCATGGATAGAGATTTTTGAAGTGTTCGTGCACAATTGTAAGATTGTCATGTAAAATATCAAATTTTGAATTGCAGGAAATGGTGTTTGCAAGTGTCGAGTGTGTGAGTGTAACCCCAATTACACTGGCAGTGCTTGTGATTGCTCTTTGGATACATCTTCATGTATGGCATCAAATGGGCAGATCTGCAATGGCCGAGGAGTATGCGTATGTGGTTCCTGTAAATGCACCGATTCTAAATTCCAAGGGGCAACTTGTGAGATGTGTCAGACTTGCCTTGGTGTCTGTGTTGAGCACAAGTGAGTGTTTCTTAATAACTGTTAGGTCTCCATGGATTCTGTCACACGCTAAGCCAGCCTCATTCTTATCACTTGGAATAAAAGGTATAAAGTTATTAGTATGGCTAAATGTTAGATCCTGTAGAAGACCAATCTAGAATGTTTATAGAAAGTATTCTTCTTAAATTATCTCCCTCTAATTTAAATGTAAAGTAACAGAATAACAGTGCAACATTTTGATTCTGTTTGCCATTTAATCAAAGCAACTATATAAGTTGAGTTTATATAAGTTGAGTTTTACTTATACACATAAGCTGAAAACTAATGATTAAGATAAAGCCAGGAGATCATATCTGCCAAAAATCTAGTAGCTATAGTAGCTACATATGATTCCCTTTTAAAAGTGCATCATTGGCTTCCATTTAGACAAATGTTGCATTAGTGGTCAAGGAACATACCTATGGACGTTGTAGTGCCTGCCTGTTTTAATGTTCCTTTTCTGATTAAGCTGCTATTTTAAAAATTCAGACATATCAATTATTATTATTCTACATGTTTGGGAAATTACTTCAAACATATTTAAAATGTTACAAATTTGTGTCTTCACAGAGAATGTGTTCAGTGCAGAGCTTTTGAAAAAGGAGAAAAAAAAGACACATGTGCAAAAGAGTGTTCTTACTTCAACATTACCAAAGTAAAAAGTCGAGAAGACTTACCCCAGCCTGGCCAGCGGGAGGCCCTCTCCCACTGTAAGGAGAAGGATGTTGATGACTGCTGGTTTTATTTTACATATTCAGTCAATGGAAATAATGAAGTTGTTGTTCATGTAGTGGAGACACCAGGTATGAATCTTGTGGTTTCAGAAGGTTCTCTTGATTGCCTCTCATTTTTCATTCAGACAAAAGTCTGTTATCAAATGTCTCAGTATTCAGAAAAGATTCCCAAAGACTAGCTTGAAGGAGATTTGTAAGAATTTATTGAACAATGTACAGTTTGAAATAAATTGTACTTAATTTATAAAATAACAAAACTTAATATTACAGCTTAAGTAGTAAAGGAAATCTTACATAAAATATATTTAGACCAGAATTTGACCTTGACTTATCAGAAAGAAAATGCTATGCATTATTTGTGTTGCAAATATGTTATAGAGAAGAATCATTCTGAATGATTTTAACATTTGTAGCTCATTTCCATTCCATGTGTGGAAAAGCCCCACTCCCTTCCATGCCCAAGACTGGAAGGTACCATTGTTAGTGTGCTCTGGCCCCAGCATTGATTGGATTGGTCTTATTCTACCTCTCTGTCCTACTATACTGCTAAGTTATGAATGCTAAGATATGGGAGAAATGGGATAAATAAGAACACCATCTCGGGTCATTCTAGAGAAAACACAAACATTACTGGATTTGACCTAGGTTAAGTTCTAGATTGGCAACAGAAACTCAAATCCTGACTGAAAACCCCAGGTCCTCCTTTTGTTCTATATGTTGTTCCACTTCACTAAGGAGGAATGGAAAAAGAGTACATCTATCCTAAAGCTAAAAAATATTTATCTGTTGTTTCCTTGAAAATGGCAGTGAATAGGAATGTCACTTTGAGATTCTATATTTATTTTTAATTCACAAGTTTCTTGAGTTTTAGAAATAAAAAAGAATTTGATGAAGGAAAAAGGCAGATCTAACATATTCCTTCTCTGATCTGCCACTTCATAGGGCCGAGCCATATTGAGTACTTTTGAGTTTCTAAGTCTACACAGCTTTTCCTTTAAAAAAGTTTTATTGATACTTTCATATCACCTTTGGTTGTTAATATATTCTTCCCTCATCCCTACCCAAGATGCTGTTCTTTGTAATTAAAAAAAATTTTAAGGGAGGGAGAAAAAAATAGTTCAGCAAAACCAGCCAACATATAAACCAAGCCTTGACAGGGTATACAATAGTCCACATCCACTCCCCTAGCTCTCCCAAGACATTTTGTTAATTCATCTTCAGTCATTATAAATTATGCAGTATTCAGTTTTGATCTTTTTTCTTCCCATTTAGTTTTTTAATCATTGTGTATTGTTGTCTTGGATTTGCTTTGTATCAATTCATGCTTCTGAATTGTTCACATTTATTGTTTCTTACAGCATCTTGCACTCACATGAGGTTTTTTTTGTTTTTGTGTTTTTAGCTATTCTTTAATTGACCCAGGGGTGGGGAACCTGCGGCCTTGAGGCCACTTGTGGCCTTCTAGGTCCTTGGCCTTCTGACTGAGTCCCAAGTTTTACAGAACAAATCCTTTTATTAAGGAGATTTGTTCTGTGAAGTTTGGGTTCAGTCAAGGGGCTGCACTTGAGGACCTAGAGGTCCAAATGTAGCCTTGAGGCCACAGATTACCCACCCCTGAATTCTAATCCATTGATAGAAGACATAAAGGAACCAGTATTTTCCACCCACCACAATAGGGAAAGGTCTTTTTTCCTCCATTTCCACCATAGGGTTGCACTTCGAATGAATGAAGTAAGCAAACAAGCATCTATTAAGCACTTACTATGTGTACAACACTTCTAAGTGCTAGAGATACAAATAGAAAAGAAGATAATCGAGGCAGCTAGGTGGTGCAGTGGATAGAGCACTGGCCTTGGAGCCAGGCTTCCTAGCTGTGTAACTCTGGGCAAGTCACTTAACTCCAATTGCCTCACCAAAAAAAAGAAAGAAAGAAAAGAAAAGCAAGGTAATCCATGCTGTTATTATTAGATACAGAGGAAATCTCTCATATTCAACCACTTGAATGTTTTAACCTCATTGTTACAAATTCTCACTCTGAGAAAGGGAGATTAAAATTTAGAGAAGAAAGGAGAAGATTCATCAAGCAATGGAAAACTACTGAAAATTTTGCCATAGGATGGCATCTATTTCAGAAATTTTCTTAGCCTAATGGAACATATTAAAATTAAGAAGGATGAGTCAGTTGTAGGAGTGTCCTTTAGTGATGATCTTTTTCTGCAAAAATTTTTCATAGCATTTTCGTATCATAGCATAACATTCCTGGCTTTTTACTGTGGTCTATTTTCTCAGTGTCTACCCTTCCCTTTTCGCCTTGTAGAGTGTCCCACTGGTCCAGATATCATTCCCATTGTGGCTGGAGTGGTTGCAGGAATTGTGCTGATCGGCCTTGCATTATTGCTGATTTGGAAGTTGCTAATGATAATTCATGACAGAAGAGAATTTGCTAAATTTGAAAAGGAGAAAATGAATGCAAAATGGGACACGGTGAGTCGAAAAACAAACCAGAAATGCCATGCAGTCCATAAAGTGAATCTTAATATTTCTAAAATTAGGCTTTGCAAATTTAAAACTTTAATTATTTCAAAATATCTTTATCCCCTAAAAATAATCCAGAACTTAAAGGACATTTTGTATTTAGAAGTGACTAAAGAATACATTCTATTATAATAAAAAATGAAAGTTTGTCTTCTGATTTTTATTGACTAAGTACACATTTGATTTCTAAATTATCTTATATTGTGCTAACCCGGAGTACATTAAAATTAAGAGGGATGTATATCTGTTGAAAGTACATTGTTCTTAGAGATCTCTCTTTTCTGAGGGGAAAAATAAAGCATCAGAGTTGGGTTTTGATGCATATTATATGGAAACACTTGAAGACTCTTCTGTGTTTGGAGTTCTAGAAGGAAAGTGGCTGTCTGGTCATTCAGGTCTGGATTCAGAGCCATTGGGTGGGGAGAGGATTGAATTGACATCTGCCTTGGCCTTCTTCCTCTGTGGAATACACAGCCACTATTATAGAGGGTTATAATGTAATTTGCATTTCATTATCATGTTAGAGGGTTTTTTTAAAAAATGCTCACTTTCTTATGTGTGGAGATTTTTCTTGTGGTATTTGAGATTGTCACTTATTTTCTTATTGTTGAAATCATTAGAAATTGACTTTTTTTCACTTCAGCAAGAAAATCCGATTTACAAGAGCCCTATTAATAATTTCAAGAATCCAAACTATGGACGTAAAGCTGGTCTCTAAATTTCCGTTCGTATTTTCTTTCCATTTCTGCCTTTCCTCTGCATGTGAAATTGATTCTGACTTTCACTGCACTGTGTGTCTTCCCATCACTCTCAGGCCTTTGCCAGCGTGGCTTTAACGGTCCTGCTGCTTTTCTTTTGCCCTTTAAGTGAGGTGTGTGTGCCAGAAAGTTCTCACAGGCTTTATTCCTAATTGCAAATTTTAACTTAATTTAAAGGCCAATGATATTATCTTATGTAAATGAAACCATAGGATTTAGAAGGTACCCTAAAGTAGTATTTCTCCCTTATTTTATATATAGGGGTAACCAGGTGGTGCAATAGGTAGAACAGTGGGCCCGGCGTCTGGAAGACTCAAGTTCAAATCAGGCCTCAGACACTTAGCAGCTGTGTAACCTTATCAGATCATTTAACCTCTGTTTAACTCAATTCCTTCATTTGTAAAATGGGGATAATAATGGTATCTACCTTCCATGGTTGTTGTGAGGATCAAGTGAGATAATATTTGTAAAGCAGTTAGCACCATACCTAGCACATATAAATGTTAACTGTTATTATTATATAGAAATCAAGGTGGAAGGGTTGTAACTTGCCCAAGATCACACAACAGTAAGTAGTAGAGGTGAAATTTGAACCCAGGCCCTCTGAATCCAAATGCATTGAATTTCTTTTCACCATCACAAGGATTCTTTTAGAAATAAAGCCTGGATTCTTTGGGTAGTGTTTATCTCTTTACAGCTATAGAATAATTCTGGTGCTTTCATATTTGAGTTTGATATCTTTTTTTAAAAAAATATTAAGTTGGAAGTCTTCATTTGGAAATGCTTGGAAAGGAACCTTTATAATAATAATAATTTGAAAACTTTGTGGTTGTATTTGTATGTGATTGAGATGAGTCTCATTTGACATATTTAAATGCAGGCAGTAACCAAGGCAAACTCTCTTAGTGAATTTATTTTTCATCTGGCTGACATATTTATTAAATAGAGAGTCCTTTCAATGTAAGATTTCAAAATTCATGTACTTCTTTGGCTTGCTCTTCACCAAGGGTAGGGAACCTGCTGTCCCCGGTCTCTCTCTCACATACAGATTTATAGAGAGATCTATATATCTGTATGTGTATAGATAGATAGATAGATACAGAGAGAGAGAGAGAATGAGAGAATAATTGAAAAACAAACAACAGGGAATTAAGAATTGGGAAAGGCTTCCTGTAGTGGGTTGGGTTTTAGCCAGCACTTGAAGGAATCCAGGGAAGCCAAGAAAGAGATGAGGAGGGGACAGCCAGGAAAAATGCCCATAGTTGGGCAGTGGAGAATTTTGTGTGAGGAACAGCAAGGAAACCAATGTTACTGGAATGTAAAGTTATGTGGTAGGGTATAAAACTATAAGAAAAGTAGTAAAGCAGTTGGGCTGAGTGGCTACTGGTCCAGGGGTCTTTTGATGTTGCCTGTTTGATAGCACAAGAGATAAACCTCAGGTTTAAATGGAGATAAGCCTTTTCTTCCCTGCTGCAGTATAGAGTACTTGGGTCCCTTCAAAGTTACTATTACATAGTAACTTTTTTTTCTTTTTAAAATTTTTAATTTTTTGATTAAGCAGCAGACATATCACTCTTTTAGGCCAAACAATGCATATGCAAAGCACACAATAAAAATATGTTTTACAATATATATTTGTCATGTTACTACTGAAGCTAAGATTTCCCTACTGTGTGCTCTGATGTATGTAAATCAAATTATAGCACATTCCTCAGATATAGCACCTTGGTCCAAGAAATAGGAGCTTATTCAGACCTTGAACATTTTATATAAAGTTAATCCCTCTTCCCTATCTTCCTCCCAGCCCACCCTCTTTTTAAAAAAATTAATTAGCAGAAACTCAGAGAAAATGAGTGATCTGCCAGTGGAATCACAAGTAGTAAATAGTGGAGCTGGGATTTGAACCCAGATTCTCTTATTCCAGAACCAGTGTTCTTTACACACTGCCTCTTATGGTCAAGGACAGAAAAGATAATTTTGTCGTATAGTGTTAGACCTTGTTCAAAATTTGTAACTAGATTAGAAGGACACTGATGGGGCAGACACTGAGATATGGGAATAGTTTTCAAATTTCTACCCCCAATTTGATGGTATTTTGTACTATATTGAGGTATTGATTTACCTATGGAATGAGAAATTAACAGAAACTGTCATTTAATAAATTCTTAAGAGTTATTTACCAGGTACATTAAAGTATCAGCTTGTTAAAAATAATTATTTCTTAGATCTGTTTCTTGTTCATGAGCCAGTTTTAGAATTTTTCAAATGACTAAAAATCTTCAAGTTAATTTTTTTTTTTTTACAAAATACTATTGTTATTAGGCTTCTACTGGCTCACATATGACTCTTAGTGAAAAAAAGTATCAGGCTGGTATTTAAGAAAACTAAGTCACTAAATAACATTCTCTTAACTCAGGGCAAGTCACCGAATTTCTCTAAAACTTAGATTTTGAGGGTTTTCGGATTTAGAGCTAGAAGGGACTGGATTTAGATAGCTTTGAGAAAATGATAAATAATTGTTTATAACTATGTAGTCAATACACAAATTAGGACAAAATGGAAGTAATTCTTTTGCTTAAAATATTCAGTGTGTATTTAAGAGCTCTTTGGTTTTCTTGATTCATTAATGAAATCTTAGAAAGTTACTGTAACAAGATAATCCCTAGATGTCATTTCTCAGAGCAGCAGTAGAAACTAGTAGGGAACATCAAATAAAGAAACACTTTGTAAATCTAGGACCAGAGATTGCCAAGGAAGCGTTGAGTGTTTCGGGCAGTTGTGAAGCTTCAGGAGAACTATGTAGGTGAAGATTCAGTGTTGACCAGTACACAACACCCCTGCTTGGGTGGAGTTGAGGGGTCAGTAAAGTCCGTTTTCCCTGAGTAGACTTATTTAGTTCAGAAAACAATAAAAATCAAACCAGATGGCCAATGTAACTGCCCTTCACTTACCCATTCAAAGAAAAAGTCACTCAGATGACATTTCATTCAGGTTGGGAATCTATTTTAGTACATTGCCAAGCTGGTTTAATTTTTGTAATATTTGATATTAACACCTCGCCCCCATTCCTGTCCTTCTCCCTTCCTTTCTACCTAACAGAAACTAGTCTGGGTTATTTTTATTTTCTTTTGAATTAAAACCAGGCCTAATGGTTTCATTTGGATAGGCATGTGCTCTTAGTTTAATTTGACCTGCTAACTTTGCATGTTAGGTTTTTTGCTCATTTGGCTTTACCTTGAAATTACTCAGTGAAATGTTTGACTGTGCAATGAATTTTTCTCATAAGGTAAGGTCTTCCATTAAACTGTTCCATTTGAATCCATCAATATTATCCAAACATGATTTCACTTTTTTATGAGAAATTATGTCAAACCAACATATAGAAAACTCGTAAATGCAAACTCCTTTTCTTTCCTTGTATATAAATATATAATACAATAACCAGTAATCAGATTATCATAAATGGACTGGAAGTACCTACAAAATCAATTCTTTGCTTTGTGGTCTGCTATTTTTAGAATCTAGCATGTTCATACTACTTAACTATATATTTTTTAAATTAAAATAGATTATAAAAATATTTTTGGTTTTTCTCTCACCTTTGCCGTCTCTTATGGCAAAGAATTTAAAAAAAAGAAAACAAAGAGGAAGTGGGGGGGGGGGAAATCAGTAAACCCAGTCTGTACATTGGAAAAAATCTGACAGTATATTCAGTGTTCCACACCCATAGACCCTATACCTCTGCAAAGAAATGGGAAAGGGGAATCAAATCTCTTATTTGGGACCAGCCTTTGAACCTTATTTTTAAAAAATGAATCATCATAAATGGGATATATTGCTTGTTTTCACATCTCTGTAAGAAAAGAAAAGGCAACCACTCCTTATTTGTAAGAGGAGGAATTAGGGTAGTACAAGTTTAGAGGACTTGTCCAAAATAATTTGGTAAAATCTGTGGTAAAATCAGCAGTATTACTATGGTGACTTAGCTCCCACTGTGTAAATTCCTGCCCAGCTCCACAGCATCTTTATTAAATGTATAGAGTACTACTTTTATAGGACCTTATCAAATAACATGGTCTGTCTGTGAATGTCTCTGTGACATCAGGATAAGTCAGTTGAGTTACTGTGGTTTATTTCATAGTCCACTGCAGATTTTTTTGATGACGGGATATAGTGTGTGTGTGTGTGTGTGTGTGTGTAGTGTGCAATACTGTCTCCTTTATGTATCATTTTGTTGTGCATCTAATCTTGTAAATTCCCAGTTCTCCATGTAGTCACGTAATATGTGTCATCTTGCAGATATTTGTCACCAAAAAAGACCTGCATAAACACTTCACTGAAGCGTGACAAAAATAACATTTTCAGAAGCTATCTGCAAAGAAATTTTTTTAAATGACATATCTGTAGCTTCTGTAGAATACATTCTATAGCACTAAAATAATGTTTCAAGATGTGTCACCAGATAACCCTATGATATAGTTACTGTGCCACATTTCTTATACTACTTCCCAAAAGAAAAGAGCAAACCTATGCACAAGTATAATTGTAGCTGCTGTTTAAATGGGATCAAAGAAGGGCATTTTCTTTCATAAAATGCAGCAGCCAGTGCATGCTGAAAGTTCTTGCATGTTTTCTGTGTAGTTTGGGATCAACTTGGTATATGATATAAGTGGTTTACTCTGTAGGCTTTGAAAATGTACTATATATGTGGTTTTAGATCTCTTACCAGGATATTAAGTAATATATTGTTGCCATATTAAAAATGAAATATTTAAATGAGTTTATGAAGAATGATGTAATTATCATTTTACTCACTTTTCATAATTCATTAATATTTATTGAATCAGTCTATATGATTTTTATGGTTAAGTTTACTCTAAAGTCTCCTGAACTCTCTAAACATATTGGGGAACTCTCTCACTGTCCCCCCAAATGAGAGTTCTTACCATAGAGGAACCAGTGATATTAGATGTCTTTCCATTCATTCACTCAACCAGTGTTGATTGATTGCTTGCTATGAGTAGGATTCCATGTCCAGTAATAGAGTAAGCAGCATACAGTCAGCTAAACCGCAGAAGTCATGCTTTCTTTAAGTCATGCATAAAAGTGGCCACTGAAGACATACAGGTAAGAGGTACATTCCTTGCTCAGGATAAAAGACCTAAGTGTACCTCTCACAGAAGAGTGAATGAAGTCTGAACATGTTTGATCTAGCACTAGTATGTTTGAATGCCTTTACATTTTTTAATTGATGATTTTTAAAAAAATACCACTGCCTCTTTTGAGTAGCTGCTCTCCCATCCCCCCAAACACCACGACCAGTGGAACTTTCCCATGAAACAAAGGGACAGTTACGACAAATCAAAGATGGGTGACATAGAATGTACCATTCCATATCCATTGTCTGCTTCTTTCCTGGGAGGAAGCACATGTGTTTCATCATTAGCCTTCTAGAATCAAAAATTGTCATTACTTTAATATGAATTCTGATACCTTTTAGTGTTCTTTGCATTTTTGTGATCCTTAAGTATTGTTCCTTTGATTCTGCTGCTTTCTCTGTTCTGCATCAGTTTATGCCTCATACCAACAGGTTTATTTGAATTCTTCACATTGTCAGTTCCATTGTATAGCTTGAGTACCTTTTTATTCAACCAACAGAGAAAAACTTTGAGTCTGTTATGACTTTTTATTAATGCTTACTCCTGATTAAGGAAAAACTCAAAAGGCAAAATGGACATAGTAACTTACTTATATTATAGTAGTTTTTATGTGGTATTTTTTCAAATAGCTTAACTTTACAATACAACTAATTTATTTTTACCCCTTTCTTTTTAGGGTGAAAATCCAATTTACAAGAGTGCAGTGACAACTGTGGTCAACCCTAAGTATGAGGGCAAATGAACATGCTTACGCAAATCCACAACATTGTCTGCAGGGGCAGTTTTTATAGTCACAGTAAGATAGCTTTAGGGCAGTACCGCAGTGGTTTTACTAACTCATTACATGTATGTGTTTCCTATGCAGGTTTTGAAAATGTACAGTATGTATAATTTTTTTTGCAAATAGAGTTATAATCAGTGCCAGGGACTGACAGAAAACTTGAGATAGGATCTTGATCCTAGTCAGCTGAGGTCACATTGTGCCTTTTTGACCTTTTCCCTCCTAAGCTATTGATATCTAGGTCTTTAGGAAATATAAGATACTGACTGCTAAGAATACTTTGAGAGGGAAATGGTTAAAGTAATCAGCATGATGAGGTCTGTCCATTAAGTATTAAATGGAATTTTAGCTTTACAAAAATATCAGGGCTTGAGTTTGCAAATACATTGAATCCAAAGTAATTACTTAGCTATTAGCTTAGTTAGAAATATTACTTTTAAACTTATCTTATTGAGATTTGTCTGTGAGGCACCTCTGATTGATTACATTGCTGTAACTTAAGCAGGTTGAGAATTAAGTGCGTAAAAAGTTTTTAAAATATTTGATTAGTATTTTCTTACTGTCTACAGGAAGACTAAAAATATGTGGAATGAATTGAAAGTATTAGGAAGGAGAAAAATAGCTTTAAAAAAAACCAATCTATATGCTGTTTTCAAGAGTTACTGGTTTGTACATAGTAACAGCAATATTGTTCGATGAAGACTTGTAAATGACTTAGCTATTCTCAGCAATACAATGATCCAAGACAATCCCAAAGGACTAATGATGAAGTATATTGTCTGTTTCCTGAGAAAGAACTGATATTGTTTGAGTACAGACTGAAGCGTGCTATTTTTCACTCTTTCATTTTTTTTCTTTTATTTGAATCTTCTTGTACAAAATGACTAATATGGAAATGTTTTACATAATTGCACATGTATAACCTATATCTGATTGCTGACCATTTAAGGGAGGGTGGAGGGGAGGGAGGTATAGAATTTGGAACTCAAAACTTTAAATATGTTTTTAAAAATTTTTTTTTACAGTTACTGGTGCCTAATAACTTTTATGCCTTTATTTGTAAATTCAAGCCAGGACCTATAATACTGCAAACTATCCTGCAAAGCAGTCCTTGAAAAATATTATTTACATAAAGGCCTTAATTCATGTGGTGTCTGCTGACTGAGGACTTTTTAGTTTAAAATACTTTTATTTTATTTTGTTGAAAGCCTGTGCTTTTGGTCACCATTTCTAATCTTTTAATGTATTTGATTACCATATTTTGTAAAATTTTGTGTTGACACTTTTCTTTTGCCACCTGAGCTGTAAATTCTGCCTTTTCAGCAAACACGGGAGGTTTTACTGTGATGCACAGGACGATCGATCATTGCTCTCCTCTCTTATTTTCAACAAGTGCCATAACAGAGCATTGTACATTTGCCTCTGGCCATTTGAATTGCCCATCTTGTTCTCTACGAGTCACATTCTTGTTTTAAGTGCCTTTTTGTTTTAACAGTTCACTTTTTACAGTGCTATTGAAGTTATTTATTGAATAAAAATGCCTAAAATACCCAAATTAGATTTGTTCTCTTTGTATTATATGTTCCTGTCTCCCCTCCACCCCAAAACTTTTGACAGGTTGAACGTGGAGGTGGGGAGATTAATGCCTGAGGATGCAGACTAATGTTCTGGAAATGCTGGTGGTAGGGAAATACGGAATAATGAGTTCCTGACATCTTGTTGCATAAGCATTGTGTGGGGTGGGAAACAAAGGAGCAGCACTTAAAGCTGGGATAGATGCACCCCCCAAAAGGAGGAATGGCCCCTTGTGCCTTGGGACAACCCCAATAACCCTTTGCAAGGTATACAAATGGAGCGGGTTGAGGAAGAAAGGAAATAGGAGAGGACCATGGAGATAATGAAGACAAGAAAACAAAAAGGCAAATGGAAGGAGTAAGCCCATCTGTCCAGGAATATTATAGAAGACATTCCTGGCATTGGATGGGAGATGATGTGTAAAGTTCTTTCCAGTTCTAAGATACTGCATAGCAGCTGTTCTGTATGCAGCTGTCCTTCTTTTCTTGAGTGCAGCCCACTCAGCAAATATGTTACAGGGACATACTGTTTATGAAGTATGGCACAAGAAGCCCTGATAAAGGGCTCAGAAATCTGATAGGGTGATGGATAAAACATTCAGGTATTGCACTCTACTGCCAATGGAGCACGTGGTGTAAGATGTCATTATAAAGCCCTTTCCAACTGTTACCAACCAGTTTTTCCCCAGTCATGTTTGTTAAATGTTAAATTCTTTGCCTAGTTTTTATGTATAGGCTTATCAAACACTAATCTTCTTACACATTTGGTTGAATGTCCATTGTATCTGTTTGTTTGGTATGTTCCTTTTTCTCCCAGTACAAGTGGTCTTGATGCTTTATAATATGTTATGGGAGATAAATTGCACCTCACAAATTGATATTTCGTCTCCTTATTTTTCTAGGTAAGTTTTATGACTGTTTAATTCTTGAATATCCATTTTAAAAATTTTCATTAAAATGTAAATTAATTTGGATGATATCATTTTTTTTCTATGTTCACCTGACATATGAACATCATATGTTCCTTATTTAGGTCCTCCTTTGTTTTTGTTAATGTGATTTTATAGATGTCTTCATATAGGTCCTGTACATTCCTATATAAGTTAATTCCCAAATACTTCATAGTTTCTGTTGTTATATTTGGATTTTTTAATCTTTATTAATAAGAATGTAGATTATTTTATGGGTTAATTTCATATTCTGCAAGTCTCTTGATTTTCGAATTTAGATAATTGGGTTTTCTAGACTATCCAGTCATCTGCAAACAATAACATTTTGGCCCTTTGTTTCCCATATTAATCCTTCTAATAATATTGTTCTATCTTACTACATTTGCTATAATTTCTAGTAGTAAATCAAATAAAAATGGTAATTTAAGGAATCCTTGCTTTGTACTTTTTTTTGTAGGAAATGTGTCTAAAGTTTTTCTGGTGCCTATTGTGTTGATTCTGGACTTTATGGTAGATAATCTTTTATTGTGTTGAAGAAAACTCCCTCTGTTCTTTTTAGAGTCTTCACCATAAATAAATGTTGAATTTTATCAAAGGCTTTTTCATGTATCAACTGACAAATATTTTTAGCTTTTTGGATTATATATTTTATGATATTACTTATGTTTCTGACATGAATTAGTATTGCAGGGTTATCTCAACTAATTCTAAATCAATAGCTTCCTAGCCTCATTTGCCAGGTCATCTGGTGGGGAGGGGTCCTGTAGGTGGGGATAGGTCAGCAGGGTGGGCATGGATGTTGTATGGGGTGGGAGCTGGGAAGGGCCTGGGATCTATAAAAGTAATGGTGGTTGGTCTTATGCTTCATTTAAATGGGGGGTGGGGGATGGGTCCTGAGCTTATTTAAATAGTAGTACAGGGTCCTGTCCTCAAAGAAGTTATAGTGGGGTCAAGTGCTTCAGCAAGTGGGCCGGGCTGATAGGGTTTTTTATAGTCATGGGAAATACACACAGACACACATATACATACCTACACAAGAAATCACCGAAAAAAATTATTTACTTGCTTTAGAATGTTATCTCATTATGATAGATGCATAAACATCTTCCTGAGACTAAATGTCAAACATGAGAACAAATTAAACAGGGTTAGTTATAAACCCATTAGCAATGCACATGAAGAGAAGGCTTCAATTCTAACTTCTTATTTTTCAAGAGTAGTTAGAATTTAAGCCTTATCTTCTTATGTTAGATTGTAGAAGGCATCAACAATCTTCCAAGGTTAGATTGATTTTGTCCAGTTCTACAGTGTATCGATAACATACTAACTGATTGCAGTGAATATACACCCACAGTATTTATGTAAGTTGTTTGGGACCTAAATAATTCTTTAAAACATAACTATCAGGGCAGCGAGGTGGTGCAGTGGATAGAACACTGGCCCTGGAGTCAGGAGGACCTGAGTTCAAATGTGACTTCACACACTTGACACTAGCTGTCTGACTTTGGGCAAGTCACTTACCCCCATTGCCTAACAAAGAAAACCAAAACTATTTAATGTCTAAAAGAACATAAGGCCAAAAGATCTAGCTTGGATTTACCATAAAACTATCTAAAATCCAGTTGTCATTAAAAATATGGACAATTTATGTTTCATTAATTACACCTACTACAGAAAAATAGTTGAAGTGAAAAATATTTTTAAAACTTCACTTGGAAATACATTTTTTAATTCTCTGCAAAAGTCAAGTGAGGCATTTTCACAAGTTATTGTTATCTACTGACCTGCACTTTGGGCACTGGCAAAATGGTCCAAGCATTGACAACACACATAAACCCTATAAAAGGAACATTTTTCATTTCTTCTGTAACAATGTAATTTTAACATCTCAAAAATGTAGACTAAAAGGAAAATCGTTCCAAACTTTAATCCTGGGTCATAGGCCCAGCTAAGTAGTCCTACTGTGGATACTGCAATAGACTATGTATACCCCTCTGAAAGCCCAGAAAATATTGCCCCAGGAAAAACCCTGGAACAGCTAAACCAGCAGAAAGATGGGGTGCAACAGTCTGGTACCCCAGGAAGCATGGGGGGCTAACAGGAAAGGCCTCTCTTGATTTGGGGGAGAGGGAGCAGTACAGAACAGGAGGGGTTTCAGCAAGCTAGCGGAAAGCCCCACCTCAGCATACCAGGAGGAGATCCTAAACCCCAGGGTGGTGGATTAGCTAAGCACCAACACTAGGACCCCAAGTGCCTCAGCACGGGCAGGGGAAATGGTGGACACTGGCTCAGAAAACCACCATGTGCCAGAGTATTTTCTGGCAGCCAAGTCTCCAAAACTGGGGAAACAACTCCAAGAGGTAAAGCTCCAGGCTAAGAGACATGCTCCAACAGTGAAACAACCCTGTGCAAGGCCTGGGTGAGCAGGAGCCAAAGAAGAGCACAAGGCCTGGGTGAGTAGGGATACCCTAGGGGCCAGACTCCCCACCCTATCCCTACAGCTCCAGTGTTGCAGATTCCAAGCCAATACCAGGTAAGCTGCCAGAACCCTACAGCCTCCAACTGCCAGCACCTGAGGCCCCAGCACACAAAGCCAGTGACTAAGCCTCAAGCTCCCAGCACAAGAAGCTTGGGTCAGTGCCCCTGCTCTCCAGCAAGAGAGCTCAATTTTTTAAAGGTCTGGAAATAAGCAAACACTGAGCAAAAAGAAAAAAAGTACAATGGCCATAGATTCTTATTATGGGGACAGGGAAGATCAAGGCAGAAATTCAGAAAAGGACAACATTATCAGTATACCCACATCTGAAACCTCAAAGGGAATACGTACTGGTCACAAGCCCAAAAAGCCGCCTTAGAAGAGCTCAAGAAGGATTCAAAAAGTCAAATAAGAGAGGTAGGAGAAAAATTGAGAAAGGAAGCAAGACGTATGCAAGAGAGAGTTAATAGCTTGGAAAAGGAAGGACAAAAATTAACTGTAGAAAACAAGTCCTTAAAAAATACAGTTGGCCTTCCAACTGTCAACCAGGAAGAGATCCTGAAGCCTAGGTGGTAGAGCAGGCAAACACCAACACCTGGACCTCCAAGTGCCTCAGTGACAGCAGGGGAACCAGTGGAAACCAGCTCAGAAAACCACCAGGTGCCTCAGCCCTCTACTGCAAAGGAATCTCCCAGTGCATTAGCAGAAATGAGAGAGGCAGCATTGCAAGGGGCCCC